CTTCATATTCGCGATACCGTTCCCTCATGCCCACAGGATACAACCGCAGCCAATCAAGATTCTCGAGGTCCTGCAAAGTTGGCTTCTGGACCTTACATAAGCCACAGAATACACGGTTCAGGTTTCAGCTTACTACTAAACCAGGACAAACCCAGACCCTTGTTCCCAAGAAGGCCAAGAAAGAAAAGAGTAAAGTCTCAGGTTACGACTAATTACACCATAAGAACCCAAAACCTGTTCTGCCAGAAACCACAGAAATCTCAGGCTTAACTTTCAAAACTTTCATATTATAATACTAAAACCAAAAAGCTGAAACCTTGGTTATTGGAGATTAGTGGCCTTGCGCACCCCGGCCAAATGCCGAGCCTCCTTCAAAACATCCTCGGGCTTTGCATTGAAGTAAGCATCACCACTCAAAAGAACCTTTCGGGAGAACATCTGCTTGTAGCCCTCGAAGGTGGCCGTAGTGACGTATTTGTCGCGTCGGGCCAGGATGACGTACATCCTCGGTCTATTCATTGGAAAGCCGAGCAGCGACGGCCCAGGGTGGTCGAAGAAGACCGCCCGGTAAAGGTCTTCGAACCACCAAGTGAAGAGGGTCTTGTCGAATAACGGGGCGCTTTCAGCAACGATGAGATCGGGTTGCATATTGCGCACGGACGCCGCCCAGATGTGGAAAGACTTCATGGAGCCGTGCGCAAGTCTTGCCCTGCCACCGAACTGAGAGAAACCCACGCAGGTCACACCAGCGATGTTGATAGACAGCGCTTCGCTGCTCATCTCGTAGTTCTCGGGCATCAAAGTGGCATTGCAGACACTGCCAAAGTGCCGAATGCACTTGCTGCGGAGTGTGCCGAAGGCGCACACCTCACGTCGCATCAACAGCCTGGCCACAGATTGGTAGGCAGCAGCCATGTCAGTCCCTGATGAAGACTGAGCCTGAGCCAGCAAGTCGTCCACTTCCTGCAGCAGAGGCTCCGACAGGCGGTCCTCCAAAAACTGGAAATGATGCCCAGCTGGATGGTTGCCATCCAAGCAGACCATCATCGGCCCTGCTTCGCAATCACAGGTGTAGGCAGTCTTCACAACACATTGGCCTTGGCTCTGACTCAACTTGAGGATGCTGGCAACCTCTGCTGACACCCTGTGGAGGGCATCATCTGCCATCCTCGCACCAGCGTAATCCGACCCAAGCAACAAACCACTGGACATGTTCTGGGCCAGTCTTGCCTTTGCTTCCACATCACGAGTTGCATCCATGCACACTTGGGTGGGCCATGTTAGCATCTCGTAAACACTCTGCGGCCCATCACGGACTGCATCATGGCCCTCACTGTCAAGCCGGCGCTTCATCACGACCACTCCCACTCATTGCAATGAGTGGCCTTTTGTAGACTTGAGCAGAGCATCAAGCACGACATGCAGCACTTGAGTCACAAGTGGACACACATTGCTTTCAGGCAGACACGACAACACACGAAGTAACCGGAGCACTGTTAAGTTGGGACAGGCCTCCTGCAGGCAGCCCCCCATGCAGAGCCAAGGTGGCGAGCCTGAGCAGGCGAATGTTGCTGCCTTTTGTTACACTAGGCATAGTCCTGCAAAGTACTGATGTAACCTTGTTTTTCAAAAAACTCTATCAGATTTCAGAATTTATTGCAAAGTTTTGAAAATATCTGTTCATGTCTGATCCAAATTGAAAAATGCTGAAACCAAGCCTGAAACCCTTCCCCGCACCTGGCCCTCGGTTGTCCTTGGTTGTCCTCGGTTGTCCTCGGTTGT